TGTATTCAGGCCAAGCCATTGCTTGGCACTGGCCATTCCCCAGAGGCAGAACCTGTTGTGCATGTTTGTAGGGTTTAGTTTGACTCACTGCAGTGTACATCTAAGAGCCATAGGAGGAGGGAAATACTTAGGTTCACGACCTTCAGCACCTCCATTAAAAATCCTTAGGGAAAGGTAAGGCAAGTAATGGAAAACGTTCCCACTGCCACAGGCAGTTCATTCCCCAAAGGTGCTTGTGAAGCCTTTTGCTACTTCAACAACTGGGATGCTAATCTCTGTAAATGGAGCTGCTATAACTTCTGCAATTCCGTATCATCAAAGCAAGTTCTAGCAAGTGTGAAATTTTCCAATAAATTTTTTTTTGTCAACTGAAAGTTTGAAGCTCTTTTGTGTGAAGAACTTTTGCTTGCCACAGAAAATCATTCTTTGTCCCTGAAAATACTGACAACAATGAAATATCTTGTAGCCCACTCTATCAAGGTTTTGAAATTCTTATTATTCTTATTTATTTTAGTGTGAGTCTGTGTTTATTAGTGGAGGTAAGATCCAAGAGGTTTAGGGGACTCTCTCCAGTTCAGGTGCCTTGCTGTCCGTTGACGTCATCTAATAAGGAGCCCAGAGATGAAACAACTTGTGGATGTGGGCTCCCCTCCAGATTTACAGAGGGATAACAGAAATTGCCTTTTGTAGCTCAGTCGTTTATTTTAGAGGCCTGTGTTGCATGTTTGCTCCTTGGCAGGATGAGAGCTACGAAGTGAATAAATATACTTCAACCACAAATGAGCAAGCAAATGGAAGGAAGTGCTGTTTAAAAAAAAATGCTTTCAGTGACTTATTCAAGTTACAAGAACAGCAAGAGGCATTTTCTAGGAAGGAAGAGAGTTTCTAAATTGTTTTATGCAAGATGGTCTATTTTATGACTTCATTCTGAAAAAAAGTTAAGAGGTAACTACTGTGAACAGAATAGCTCTGGCAGAACACTAGCACTGCAGGGCTTGCTTGTTTCAGAAAGAACATGTCATATCAACATGATCATCATCTGTTGCAACATTACAAAATATAATACTGAGATTATAATGTTGTTGTCTGTAAGTCCACTTAGTCTCCTCTTTCCCCCCACCCCCAAGCCTGACCTCATTCTACTGAGGGACAGCCAACTACTTTTCCCTAGCTCTGTGGCCAGCAACTAGCTTCATGTATGACTTGTTTCGTCATCAGTCTTACACGTGTTGGACATCTCTCTAGTTGGTGAAATACTATGTCTGATGCCAGAAGAGGAGTTGAATACAGACCTTTTACTATGAACTAACAAGTCACTTACAGCCATTAGTCACTGAGTACCTTCTGGATTAAATAATACAGAATATGACCTAATCAAATTATCCATATTATCTCAGTGCAACAGCAAAAGTAGGCCTGATTTTGAACTTGGGACTCCAACTCCAGTTTCGGATTTACATACTAAACAGGTCTCAAACTTACCTCAATTAAAGAGCACAACTCAATGTACTCTAGATTTTGAATCACACATTAAAGAATACTAAAAATCTAAAGCTTTCTATTTTTTAATGACCACATTTGGATTCGGATTCAGACTTCTGTCTCATCTCTCTAAATCGGTTAATGTACACATTTCCTTTATAAACACCAACTTTTGCTGAATGAAAATCACTGCTGAAGAGCTGGGTTTGACTATTATCACACATAATAATTAAATCTCTTTATCATACTCACTGCTTTAGGCTAGTTAAACTAACTAGGAAACTTCTCTTGTTTTAAAGTCTCATCTAGAGATGATCCAGCTTACTACCAGTAACAACTGTATGTAAAAGAATGAGCTGTGCCATGAAGGATAGTTCCTGACAATTTGGGACTCATTGGTAAAGTAGGTAGGTAGGTAAATTTGACTAACAGTGGCTTTTCTATCCATTGCACAATAGCACTGGCACTACTTTCTCCAACAGCAATGAGAAGACAGCTAAAATGAAATGCTGCGTAGGTAAGTAATCTTTTTTTAACGTTTTTGACTGCTGACACATTTGATTACATCTATAGGATGGGCTACACTCACCAACAGTGTACAAGAGTGCGCCACCCTATTCTTAGTCAGAAACACATTTGCTCTGTGTCCCATTCTTGCAGAGGGTTTTGTAATGTTGCCTGGTCACTGCCTCCTTGTCTACAAAGCAAATATTCAGGGTGGAGAGGAGAAGAGGAGTTTTCATTTGTGAAAGCAAAAAGGTGAGAAAAAGAAAACAGCTTCCAATGAAAGCTGAAACACATCATGCAAATATACAGCAAATATACTCAGTATTTTTCTACTAGCAACATAGTATGTATTGCTTATGGACAGGCACATAGTCTCCACTGCTGCGCTACTCTCTGATAGAATGTGTCAGAAAGTGTTCTTTTAAAAATACTCACCCATTATTATGGAGGCTCAAGTCTCTGTGAGGAGACAATTCATCCTTACTTTTGGATTCACAGAGGGAACAAAAAAGGAAGACAGAAAAAAGGCAGAAATTAAGTGTTTAAAGATGAATGAATACATAAATATCATTATTAAGTTAAGGTAGGAATGTTATTACAGGAGCATTGTGGAGTAACAAAGTGCCTCATGTCAGCAATGAGCTCTTGGAGGATAGATCCCTGTTTCCCCAATAGAGCAATTAACTTCTCTTGGGTTAGGGAGGAGTGCTGGAGCTTCTTCCCACTTCTTCACACGAGCACTGCACTTTCTCTGTCTGTGCAAAATGTTTCAAATGCCTTTTTTTTTTTTTTTTTTTTTTTTCTGTTTCTAATCTTTTCCTGGATTACTGAATGTACAGTGAAACTTCTTATCTCATGCAGGAATTATGTTTATAGCAGAAAAGGAACTTAGGGACTGAATGCCTCAGGGACTTGGATGATGGGATGTAGAGACTTTTATCTGAGGTTTCTTTCTTGAATCAGGCCCAAGTTGGTAGTGACCTAAAATTGCCTCAGTCTGATGACTGTTTGGTCTCCACTGTGAAATGTGTTTGGTGGTCTCAGTTTAATTCCTGGTAAATACTTGTTTGCGCACTAAATTACTTCCATAACTGGTATCCATGTTGGCAGTCTCACAGAGAGGTCAAGGGTTTGATGGGAACCGGGACTGAGCTATTCCTTCATGCTGCGAGTTGGTCCCTTCTAGACATGCGAACTGAAGAAGTAGTGCAATTACAGACTGTAGAGGTCTGCTTGCTTTTTAATCTGCTTCCTTTTAAGACCATAAACTGCAATATGCTAACTCTGAAAAATTGTTTCAATTCAAAATAAAGCTTCATTCATCCAGGGTCCTTCTACCATGCTGAAGACCAAGGTGCCTCCAGAAACTTCAGATGATAAAGGATTAACCCATGTCAGGACATAGTCAGTCTGACTAGCATGGTTGATGATATATATTTTGGTGTCAATGCAGTGAACAAACAGCTTAATTCACATAAATAATGTCTGTCAGCCCTTCACACTTTCCCTTCTCCCTCCTGCTCATTTCTGGTCTCTCAATTTTACTGGTGGTGGTATTCACGTGAATACAAGAAGTATCAGATCAGGGTGATCTATAGGTTACAGAAAATGAGACACCAAAAATAAGTACATGGTGGAGTAAACTAAATAAGATTGTTTGCTCTCCTTAGCCCGTGCAAAGAAGATATTTTTTTCTTAATTTAAAAGCTTTCTGTTATTCCACACATCTAAAAATTTAAGATTATGCAGAGTGCTGTGAATAGCAGCCAAAGTGAAAAGAAAATTAGTATTCATCAATTATTTTCACACATTTTCAAAAGTATGTTGAGGACATGTTTCTACAAGTGTGCATTTGAAACTGATACGAACCAGAGGTCAGTAAAAAATTCACCCCTGAGATGGCAATTTTTCAGTCACAGATTCACACAAAAATTCATTAGGACCCTCCTGTCAGATTGCACTGGCAGAACTTACAATAAACCTTATGCTATCTATCAAAAGGGCACAGTAAAATTCAACCATGGGCATTTTCAATCTGCATGCCGTGTAAGCCCAAAAATGAGTTTAAGCACTGAAAATAACATCTGCTACATGCATGGTCTTAGAGTGCGATAAGATGTAAAGCGCAGAAAGAAATACAGATTGTTTGCTGTCACGCAGCAGATACAGACAGTTAAGCTCCAGACCTTAAAGTGAGGTTTGATCGCGGCTTCAGCCTATGCATGCAAGCTCTTCAACAATTATTAGCGTAAATTGTATTAAATCCACTCCGTCCAGCTGTTTAGGATTTCCAAGACAAGTCTCTTACTGTGTAGTTATAGCATTTACCATTGTAATTTTTAATTACAGGCTCTCATATTAACTGGAGCCACATGATTTTATCATGGTTGAAGTGAATAACAGCAGTGCAGTTGGAAATCTGTAAGACTGTATGCCACCATCTGAAAATACTGATCCATAATTAATTTTACAGTGAGGTAGGTAGAATAAGTATTTTCCTATAGTATATGCTTTCATATTTGTACATATAATGCATTTAAATGTTTTACAAAATACATGTAAGTTATCTGGAATTATTTTCTAAGCACACTATCCTTCTGAATTTTGAAGATATAATTTGCAGTAGATTTTGCAAATAAGTTAGAAGCCACAATGTGTATTGTCAGTATACATGTACATGTGATAAAAGGGCAACATTTGCAATACTGTGCTCCTTTTTTTCTTAATGGATGAACTAGAAATTAATAGCTGGTTTGTGAACCTTTCATTTTTCTTTTCCTGAGGTGAGTTCTGGACTAATTTCCTTTAAAATGTAAAACTGAGAATGGCGCAGAATATGTTGGTTCATGTGTGTTGAAAAAGATCGTAAAATTGGCGTCACTGTAGGCATTCAGATGCACAGAAAGTGCTAGTGGAAAAAATGAAACAGAGAAAACACCAACGCAGCCAGCCATATGATAAAACAGATTTTATGAATGTGCTTGTTTGTATCTAAGGAAAAGCTGGTCTGCCTTGAAGTTTGTCTGGTTTTTCCCAGTTTGTGTAACAAAAGATATTACCATTCCGCACTTTATTTCTGAAAGCACATTCCATTATTGAAATTGCCAGAATGACCTAAAAAAAAAAAACCAAAAAACAACAAACAAATCTTTTTCAAATCTATATGATCTTGGTATGTAATGTCTTCTTAACTGGACTTTTGCAGAACGGATTCTTCACCAGTCCTCTGCTTTTCAGAAAAAGCCCATAGGTGTAAAACCAAGCAGATGGCACAGCTGCACCTAGAAACACAGCACAGCTGTCAGCTGGGGAAGAAGGGAGATTTTCAACTTGCAAAGGTAAAAGCTTGATTTCATGTCCCTTCACTTCTGAGAAAGTGTAAGGGTGATCCTACACTGCCCTCACTTCTTCCAGGCAGATCCACATGAATTGGATGAAAGCTATATATGTGAGCTACAAGGACCACATGGCTCAACATGGCAATTATCTTTTTAATTTACAAGAGTAACTGCCAAAAAACTGGTAGTGATTACACATTTCCCCACTCCATGCATGCAGCTGCACTGGAAAGAAAGAGCATAACAACTCCGTCTTCAGTTTGCACGTGGGCAGTCCGAACCTTCTAAGCCTCAAAAGCTTAGTTGTACTATTTAACTGTGTACTGACTTACAACTTGCAGTGGGAAAAGAATCAGGTCCCAGGTCATCAGAATTTTAGGAGGTAATTTTCAAGCTGCTGCCAGAGCTAGATGACATGTCTTAATAAAAGTTTCATCTATCCGTCGCAGCTGAGAACAAAACCGATCTGTTTCCCAGCATTGTTTTGCTTCTTTGCAGTACTCACATAATGCAAACCCATCAGTACTGCTCTGCTGGCAGTTTCCATGAAGCGGATTTTCTATAAATCTGAGTATACACTGTGCTAAATTGTTCCTTCTCCTGCATCGCCTTGCAGAGCAGTATTACTCAACACAGTATAAAATTCTTAGTCATCGCGATCACTGGCCTTTCTGTGGCACAGACCCAGTTTTCTGTGCTGCATTCCTCATTTTATAGAACAAACTGGAGCTTGTTGTTGTTTGAAGAGTATTGACCAACATCCTGAACATTGCCCATTAGGGTCAAGCATGGAGCATTTCACCACCTCCCATTTCTCTGGGCTGCACGGTGTAGTGTCATTAAGTTTATACTTGCAGGAAACTGAGTCATCCACTCTTCTCTACTTTGATACACCACAGCTGATGTCCATTCAAAGACAGGAGCGGGCTTAGCATTCCTGTCCTGTGATATGTTACCTCTCCAGCAGAAACAGAGTGATTTTCAGGTTCAAGTTTACTACGGCATTGAATTTCTACCCTCAGCTTAAATAAAGTTGTACAGTTCTTCTTTCTGATCTGACTGATCCTCAATGCCCAACAAATAAAGCACATTCTATCACTATAATTTAAAGTATGCACTGGAAATTAGGGGAAGAAGATAAGAGAGTAGGAAAACCAGCCAAATTTCATTGATATATGCGAAGAAAGAATGTCTCAGCACTCTCATCCAAATGCCCAAAGACCACCAGGTGGAACAGCCCAGACAGCTATTGTAAAGCCTAGCAAAGGCAGGGTGATGACAAGAAGGGTAGGAGGGTGAAAGGTCCTTTGTAAATCTGCAGAGGGCCAATGCCAGTCACTGCTTAGGCCATTTCCTGGAGATAACGATTTGACAGTATTTGAATATCCCAACAAATGTATACCTCAGAGAAGGAGGTGGAGGGCGCTTGTACATTTGCTGTGTGTGTGCTGTGACACCAGCTGCCAGGACAGAACCAAGAAAAAGCAGGGCATTATATGCACCTAGCTCTTCCATGAGGCTCCGAGAGGAGTGTGCCCCTTGTGGCAGGAGTGCCAGGAGTACTCCAGAGGCACCTTACCTCCTCTTTTTTTCCCATAAGGTCAGGCTTCCATGTGAACTTCATGCAGTACAGATACACTCCAGACTGTCCTTCCTACTGGATGAATCTGTGACTTAATTAAGCACGGCAAAGTTGTTAAAGCAGAGTACCTGAAATAGTTCACGCTCTCATCATGATTTACTGGGCTTGGCACATCTACACCACCCACGCCAAAAACATGCTATTGATGACAAAACCTGAAAGTCACCACAAGCCTTTCATAATCTAAATTACAGAGACAGTGTCTGAGTAGCAATCACATGGCAAAGATTCTCTCTGCATGTTCAAAACCAGCTAGCCTGTGCAATCAGGCAGAAAGGTCAGGAGATGGACAGGGTTTTATCACCTGCAAATCCTCTGGGTTTTAGTCCTCTCATTAACATGGGCTGAGAAGATAGCACCCCATAACATCTGAAATAGTTGTAGTCATACAGTCACAAACATGTAAAGTTTTCCCCTCCAAACTACAAGCTTGTCTTCCTTTGTATAGCATCGAAGGCTGGGATTTGCACTGTATTATCACGTTAGTATCCACCAATAGTGGCCATGGTTGGACTTGATGATCTCAAAGGTCTTTTCTAACTTAATGATTTTATGGTTCTAGGGCAAACTCAACTGATCATTCTGAACCAGATATACCTATTAACATCAAAGCAAGACCTCCCCATGACTCTCTTAATTCTTGGACTATCTTGTGAGTCTGACTCCATCTCAAACCTAATTTCCTACATGTCAAAGCCTTTTCGTTTGCTTCTTGCCTGGTTGGTTGAAAATTACAGGCTGTTTCTCCTCTTGATTTCCTGGCATTTGGGGAAAAAAAAATTAAAGCTCCCAAGGGCTGTGTTAGTACTCTGTATATTTCCTTATGCCACTGCTGATATATGCACAAGCGTGTATGTGTGTCCATCTCACTCTGTTTCCAGGGTGGAGTCTGTATGCCTCTTGTGATGAACGGTGTACTCATTCTGCCTGACATCAGACATCAGACTTGAGATGTGATTGCCCTGTAAAAGATCAAGTGGAGGGTAATCTCAAAAAAACAAATACAGTAAGAGTTGCTTACAGGATCCCAAAGTTATGCAATCAGCTGAAGAACAGAGATGGGGTTACTTAGTCACTAACAACTGAGTGAAATGCAGGCAGGTATTGTCATTTTCTTTAGATAAGGTGCTGGGATAAAAAGAGTCTGGACTTACTTCCACTGAGCACATAGCAATAAATGTGGCAGCTTCTGAAAAGTGTTTGGGAAGGCAGAATTTTGAGAAGGCAGTATTTTTTGTATCTTGCAGGTAGGGTTAATGGGTCAGGTTTCCTTAGCTGGTTTAAATGATTCAGCATGATGAACAATTCTGTCTTGATTCAAAAGGAAGCTCCTGAATATTCAAGTCTACAGATAGTTAGAACACTCAACCAAACATCCAAACTTCACATCTGGTCTCTACAAAACCAAAACTTCAGAGTAACTGTGCGTATCTATTTACTAGAAATTTGGCTAGAAATCATTTTCTTAAAACTGTGACTTGGGGTTGTCTCAAATAGAAATATTTACTCTGGCTATTTAATTTTAAGTTGACTGTTTTGCAATTATAGAATATTCTGATTTAAGAGTAGGAGAAAAGCTGTTATTCTCTAGTGGTGAAATTTTCTTTTCATTCTCTGCCTTTCTTTTAATGGACAAGAATGAAAAGAAGGTAATGATGACAATTGTTGAGGGACTTGAGTGAGGAAAATCCGAAGCAGCAGTAGAAGAATTTTAATAATTATCTGTATTATCTGTAAACTTTGAATCTTTAGAATAATAAATTATTGAGTAGAAACATCAGAATTGGGCAGATTTATATAACAAACATTTGATTTTTTTTTTTAATTCATTAGCTTTCATTTGTTAGCATTTCTCATTGATTTCTCACAAAACTGAAACTCAGAATATTTGTTCTGCTGCTTTGCTAGAAAATTGGGGAAATTTTAAACAAAACATAGTACGTTTAATTTTATTTAGGCAAGTTTTTTTCTTATTCACTTAATATTCACTGGATTTTTATTAAGAGAACTACCTTCCTCAATGTCTACATCTATCTTATTGACATATTTATATCTTTAGCAGAAAATCCTAATTCAAAACTAGTTTAAATATAAAGACATCTCATAGCTTTTTAAACTTGTAAAGTTGTAGGTTACCTTAATGTTTAGTTTAAAGCCTTTGGGCTCTTTGGTATGAACCAAAACAGAGTCTTCCACAAGATGAAAAATATCTCTCTATTTAGCTGAGTTGTAAAAATTCTTCAGACCACAGAGCTGATAAATCTACCTTGGTTATACCCCTGAACATGAAAACACTGATACTTATAACGACTTGGAAAAAAGACTCTAGTAAACTTTTTTTCACCCAGTTTATCTATTGTCTTTTCTCATACATTTCCCATCTTAAAACAAGTCCGACACATACGAGCAGGAATGCCGCAAAAAACATGGGCGGGCTGTGTGTGTGAGTACATGGTGCAGGTGGACGCCAGCTGACTTACAGCACTGTCCCTGGACGAAGCCTCCTCTTTGTGGAGAGCGGAAACAGCTCCTGAAGAACCTGTGGCTGCGATCGGAGGCACTCTGGTTTGTACCAGCAGTAACAGGTCATTGCTCTCAACAGAGTGATGATGTGTGCATGGCTATGGCCAGTTTCAATTTGAGTTTTCAGGTTCACAAAATACTGAAACTCAAAGCACAAACAGTGGAGGGGATGTCCCAAAGTGAGCGCACCAGCTCCAGTTTCCAAAACCTATGCAAATTTTAGTTGATGCTTTTAGCACAGCCTTACCTGACAGTTCATACTACAAAGCCAGCTAGCACATTTTACAGTTATGAGCTCAGACTTCCCACAGGGTTGCAACAAGTGCCTCAAAAACTCCACCTTACGCTCCTCTAATTCAGGAGGGAGCTCTAGCAATATCTTCCACAAACACTCCAAAGAGTCCAGTGCAGAAGCGTCTGTGTGCCCTGTATGACTCACTGAAATACAGTGGGATTTAGGAGACATAGAATTTTTGTACTGGTTAAAGACATGGGATGAATTTTAGGGCAAAGCAATCTAAAATGACAAGACATCTGTCTTGAATTACAGTGGTGTGTAAATTATGATCCTGCACAGACAGTAGTGCCACCAGCCTGATCTAGATGTCAGCATCTTTTGTGAGGCTGGTTTAATTGTGTCATGGCCATTATTTGCAAATGCAGCAGTCAAAATATTCAAGTGAAAAGATTTCCTGAAAAAATCTGAAGTTCTAAAATATGTTGGCAAAATGTTACTCTTTTTTTTAGCGCTTTCAAAGAACAAATATAAAACTTCATGCTAGTGCAAGTCAAGACTGAGAAACACAGGAGATGCCCCACTTGTGATACTGTCACTTAAAAAATAGAGTTCTGTTTCAATTACAAATATTGACATTTTTCACACTGGAAAGAACTGTTACTTGGAAATTCTGAGAAAGGGGAAGCTGTTGGACTTAATATAAACTTGAATTATCACTTGAAAAGGAAACTTATGAAGATACCATTTCATGGAGAATCATCTCTCTATCCATTTATGAGCATAAGATAGAACAGGATTTAGTGAATCACTGGCATGTGATTCTATTCCACTAAAAATTGTCTATTTTCCTTCCTCTTCTCCTCATTTCAGGGAAAGAACAAAAAGTCATGTGAGGCTTTTCAACTGCATGGAGAATATGATTTTGACCTTTGTAGGTTTGCAGGTCAGTAGTATATTACTGGCCAGCATTCACTGTCAAGTTATATTACAGCAGCTATGTTAAGTAGTGCTAAATCAGTAATCTGAAGTAAATTAACAATTGTTACCAAAGGGTGATTCATTCTAATCCATAAGTAATTCACCTGCCCTTGATGTTAATAAAGTGGCTTATAAAAGTAGCATTTGATGGAAAAAACCACAGATGCCAGCAATAACATGAAAAGCTCTTACTTAAAGCAGTTAACAGCTGCAAAGCTAAGTGTAACAATAAAAGTATTAGTTAAAGATGTGTATATATAGTTAAGAGTACTTAGATTTTATTACTAAAATGTATAATGCGATAAAGTGCAAAATTAAGCTTTTTATTACCTCTCGAGTGTTCAGAAACAACACAGCAGAGAATGCATTTTAGTGGGCAACAACCACATGTTCACATTTCCCAATGTTTTTTTCTTTATGGGAAAAAAAGAATGCACTGGGCAACAACTTGTTTTTTTCCCATGTAAAAATCATATGCCAGTGATTCAGTAATTCCTATTTTTTTCTTATGCTTATAAACAGGCAGAGTAATGACTGTCAATAAAACTATTAAAGGATGGAGAATACCTCAGAGAGTCAACATTACATGATATATTTAAGATAAGACAGATTCGAACAGGTCACTGGTTTGCAGTTGCACAACTGTCTGAATTTTTTGGATGTAGTTCATTTCATTACAGTCTCCTGAAATTCTGACTTACGCATTGTTAGGAGCAAAACAGTTTGATGAGCTGACATTGCAGTCACTCCCAAATGTTAAAAAAACATGAGTCAGGGAAATCTAGGGAATGGTTTTAAGACAACCTTACTCTCTTCTATTTGTTTTCTGATTTCTGAGCCATGAGTGTGCACTCCCTCCAGACTTTCTGGCTTTCCTCTGCACCAATGAAGGCTAGAAATGCAAACTGATGATTCAAAGCACAGATCGAGAGTCCCATACAAAGAATTGCCTCCAAGATTTGGATTCACGTTAAAATTGCAGTGTGTCCTGTATAACCGTGTGGAAAAATCCACTCCCTCTACCTGTATTCTCATGTCTCACCTTCACTTGCCTTTAAACACTTGAGTGGTCAAGTTTTATTTGTTTGTGTCTTCATAGCAAGTCAGTGGTAAGTTTATACCCTAGGATGTCATCACTGGATATTATAGATTCATGGTCTCAGAGAGAAGGAGGACTGCTAGGTATTTTAAGAGATAACCAAGGTCATACTCTGCACTAAAGTAACAGCAAAATCAGAACTATGAATTACGTGGGTGCTCAGTCAACGTTTCTTCCAAAACCAACTTTCCTTTTCTAATTTCTAATCCCTGTGGTGGAAAAAATGTCAGGATGGAAAAGAAGTAAAAAAATTACTTTCATTTTCCCCCTAAAAATAAAACCTTTTCTTATGTCGTAAAATTATCAGAAATTTCCTTAGGGCTAATTATAAAGATTGGGGTTTTTTTGTTTGTTTGTTTGTTTTTTTAATAACAGTAGTGCTAAAACTATGTGGGAACAGAAATGATTCCTTGTGATTTATATAACTAGTTCCAGCTAAGCCAGGTAAAACTTCAAATATAGATATTGAGTGGTATGCTTTTCTATCCCTTCACCCAAGAGAACCTACTTGAAAAACTTAAACAAAGGAAAAAAAGAAAAGACAAAACTGAAATTATGAATTTCACAAAATTGTTCCTTCTGTTTAAATTGGATGCAAAATCCTCAAACAAAAAGCAGTCAAGGTTACTCACTTTCTTAAGGCGGTCAACAGATTGTTTCCTATGGCTAATGCCCTGTATAGAAACAGCTCACATGAGAAACAGTTGAACCTCATAGCAAGTTCTACCGCATCAGCTCAGTTCTGCATCCGTATTTCTGACCTGGTAAAGGTTTACTCGTGGAGGCTTGGAGCATCTTCCCCTCTAGGTGATGTTTAAGAATAGCTGTATTTACTGGGAAGCTCCCACCTTTACAGTCCTTACTCTTTCCTGTGCAGCTCTTTAGGCAACCCACTAACTAAAGTTACATTAACTTCTGACTTCTGTGTGATGCAGATAGAATCTATAACATTTTTCAAAAGGCTAATTTAATTCAATAATCAGTTCAAGAGAGTGTTGATACTGAGTGTCAGTGCTCTGC